CAGATATTGTGCATTTTCTTTGAAGAAATTGAAACAGAATTCCTGAAAGTTTATTTCTACTTCTTTTCTTTTAAGGTATTGTACATTTGCTTTGAGAATGCAATTCGTAACTGGCTAAAGTTGGAAGAAGAAGAAACCAATAATTTCAGGGATAGTCTTTGTCCTACTGTAATTGAATTTCTAATAATTGTAAGTAAGTAATTATATTTTTCTTTGGAAACTACTATTTATGGTAGTTAAATATCTATGTTGTGAAATTTTTTAGTACTATTTTTGATTGATGAAGAATCTTTTGTATGTTCAATGCAACAAGCTTTTCCCTTTTGAAGATGTGTTATCCTGTATCCCTTAACCAAGATTTGTAAATACTTGGTATTTTGCAACAGATAGAAGAGGAAAAGAAAAGAAAAACAGAAAAGACTTTCTATGAGATCCCATGCCATATAGGTTTCTATTTCTTATCTACTGGGATAAGTGTTTTATACTTAATTACTTTGACTCTATATAGTCATTAAAAGAACTTTGAATTTGACTTTCTGCCAAGAAAAAATGAGGTCAATAAGATATGTTTCCTTGTCCAAATTATTTGTAAATTAAAACCTAATAGGTGATTGGTGACTAAAACCTCTTTAATGGCTTAGACATAAAACTAAATTTTGTATAATATTTCAAGACTAATGAAATTTATTATTTGCAATTGTTGAGGGGTGTGGTGGGATGACTCGGTGATTGACAACAACTAGGTAGAGGTTAGTAGTGCGTTGATCTAACAATCCTTGGTGGCTAACTTGGTGATTGCCAACAGCTAGCTAGAGGATGGTAGTGTAAAATGCCTATGCCAGCAAGGTTCTTTTATCATAAGCTTTAATGATTGTAATTTTGTTAATTGATTTTGCTTCACCATCAAAAAGTTTTAATGATCTAGTGAACACATAAGAGTGGATTACATGCAATATGAAGAATTCAAACTTGAAATTGGCAAGGTATTTGATGCCTTATAAGAAGAAAGAAACTTTTATGAAAGGCATGCACATGCTTCTGGCTTTAGTGTTGTTTCATCGTTCATCTAAAACAAAGATAAAAATGGGTAGAAATAAAAGTATTTTGTTTGATCAAAAGAAGGTTTAAAAGTAGATAAAAAGATAGCTTAACCAGAATTGATACTAAGTGAAAATAGAATAACCTTTTCCCCCTTTTCGATTATTTTTTACATGTTTTATTTGTTTAATTAGTTTTTTATCTAATTGGATTTTGAATAGGCCACTTAACCAATGCATTATGCTTTGATTACTGCAAAGTGCTCCACAACCACTATTGGAGAGTCATGAGTTGTGTACCATGACTTTGGAGTCCAGAAAGAAGTGTGGCAAGAACAATTAATGTACTTGATTCTCTGATTGATGTGTTTGGTGCTTTGATTTTGATTTTGATTCTGATTTAGGGAGTTGTGTACAATAAACATTTGATTTTGATTGGCAGTGTGGTATCAATATCGTTCCCACTTGTAAATTAGATTACACATTTGGATTCGCTTGTTTTTTATCGGATATGGCACTACTTTCCCTATCACATTTGGGTTTCCATTTCATTTTTATGTTTATGATGCTGCTAGGTGTCATCGATATTTATTGGTTTCATTAAAATTTATACATAAGCATGTATATTATAATTTTTTTGTGTGATTTTTGTTATTGTAATTTGGTAGCCAAGTTAATCTTGATGCATAATATTTGTCCATTATATATAAATGAACAATCTGTCTAAGATTTATATATATGTCCATTACAGGTAATTAGAAAGAATCTAAAAGAACATAATTTTTTTAAAAAAAAATACAATCTACATCAGTTTTTTAAAGAATCGATGTAAATTTATACATAAATCTACATCGGTTTTCTTGAGAACCGATGTAAATTTATACATAAATTTATATCGGTTGTTAGGAAAATCGATGTAGAATATGCATAATCTACATCGATTTCAAAACCGATGTAGAAGTGTATACATTTTCTAAGTCGTTCTATTCTACATCGATTTTAGAACCGATGTAGATGACTTCGCAGAACTGATGTAGATGACTTCGTAGAACCGATGTAGATAATGCGTCCTGTAGTAGTGTATTATAATTATCCGTCAATTTGAATTAATGAAATGAAGTATCAAATGATTTTCAAATTTTTTAAAAATTTATACACTTGATCTATGCATTAAGAGCTTTAAATTCAATAGTTGGATTGTTGAAGTTTGATGTAAAATATGAGTTATTGAATAGAGTAAGCTTAAGTAAATTTACTCTTGAAGTAAATAAATCCCTCCTATATATATGTGTATGTCTGTCTGTGTAAACCAACTACATCACCAACAACATGGCCCCCTAATAGCCCCATAAGCCAACTCCAACTAACCTTACCCTACTCCCATAAAAGAATCATGATAATCGCGGTTCAAATCACATGAAAAACACCTAATGATAAGCTAGATTTCAAAAATAAAACAATTATAACAATAAAGCATCTATATTCAACATCATTATGCTATTCAAGTAAGTATACCACGAGATTTGCATCCACAACAATCACCATGTTTGAAAGCGAAAACACCAAAGCAAGTCAAACATTCACAACAACCATACCAAACAACAAGGTATTCATGCCATGCATATGAATATAATCAACTCACCACATCATATACAAATACCACATCTAGTGCGTCGACAAGCATTCCGCTACGGAGATATCCTAACACACTTGAGTAGTCTGAGTGATTTGATTCTATTAAACCAACCCAATCGTGTTAGATCGACAACTAAAATGAGATGTCAATCCTTCTTCTGATTTCTCAGGTGTCGCCATTTACAATAGGAAACTTCGATTCGACCGTTATGATTAATATAGTTAGGTATATGCGTATCATGACCTTAACATACATTACTAAGTCACTTATGAAGTTAGTCCACTAACTATCCTTAAGAAAACATGCAACTTTTCTAGTAATCAACTAAAGGTTGTAGTGATAGCATTGCCAAACCACTATAAAACAATTACTAGATTTTCTCCAAAGGTTTGTAATATAAAAAACAACCTATGTCATTCTTCTCGAAGATACAAATCAATTGAATCTAAATTAATTTATCACGCAATTGTTAGAAACAAAATTTTGGATAGTAAACGGTAATTGAGAAATTAAAAGTGTAAACAAAAATTTATCATAAATTAAAATTAAAATTTACATCAATTTAAGATTTTAATTCTTATAGTAAATTTTTTACGGTTCAAATTATAATCTGAATTCAATCAAACTAAATAAAGACAAATGTAATTAAAATGTAGATCTAAATATAGATTTATTGCATTTTATAAAAATGTGAAACACAACCGTGATGTAATAATTTTCGTGAAATTCAAGAATGGTAAATGGCTTATTTAAGTGATTTAGGTTATTTTAAGTCTAGATCTTTCTTTCAAGATGTGTTACAATAAGTTAAGTACAAAGATTTCTTACAAGAAAGAATATGACTTTTTACAATTGATTTTTCATTACATTATCATCTTTTTCTTTCTGAGCTTTAAGTTTCCTTTTATAGGGTCTCACTAAAAATAATCGTTGCAAATCCTTGAACTTCTCTCTCATGGTTTGCTTCGTCTGTCTTCACGATTTACTTCTTGAGGAGAGAAGTGTCCATTGGTCTAATAAATTCTTGCATAAATGCTTTTACTAAATTATCACTTCTTATTTGATTAAAGAAGTTATTAATCACTTTTTGGGTACCGAGTGGGTAAAGCCATGAATGTGTCAGGACATTGTAGTGATGAAATAGCTTTTGACTACAAATTTCAATGTCTGTAAGGATCTACCATCCTTTCCTAAAGGAAAGCATGTATTTCTTTCATTTTTGTAGAATGTTGATATCGAGGAAGCATCTTTATATTCGATTTGTTAAGAAAACATTTAAACATAGTCAATTCCTTATTTAGAGATCATAAATGATAAAGATTTAATGCATATATTTTTTATGACTAAAGATTGGTCTTAGTCAGTAACATAAACGCCTTAATGCATTTTTCATTTTATACAAGGATTCACCTTACGGACGAGTTGTGTCTTAGTGGAAAAATTGCCATTGTCATTTTGAAAATTTATATTATTGATTAAAAATTTCTTTGTTTATTAACAACAAAACTTATAACTAGAGGGATTTAAGATTGTTTTTTGACCTAACAAACCTATATAAAATTTCTGTGTGAATCTTCTTGAAATATTATCTCTTTAATTGGGTTGTTGTGATTGTTATAATTACTTTTGAGTAACGAAATTGTATGATTTTGCATGTTTATTGTTGCCCAATTAGAATCACATCATGACTAGACATAATCTTTGAAAAGATTGAATAAAGACACTTTCATTTGACTCAAGTGTTAATTATTGTCAAATTCATATCAACATAGTACCCATGGTCTACAAATCCTTTGGAGTTATAAGAATTTAGATGATTGACATTTAGTTGTGGAATAAATAATAAAAAAGTATATTACTAATTATTATGAGTGGAGATTAAATGATATATTTAAAAACCACAGGATATTATTTTGTAAGTTACAAATCTATAGGAGTTTCACTTGACATGTTTATTATGAAGATTATACTAGATGTTGTTTCCTTTCTATAATTCTATACTAGAAAAAGTGTCATTCAAGTTTACTCCTATCTTCTCTAAAATCATTTCAAGTGATTCAACACCCAACATAACAAGTTCTTTTGAAATTTGTCCCTCTGATATCTTGGTTAGTGATGACATAAACACCTCAATTTTTATGTTTATCATAATGCACAATATTGCTATGATAGAAAAAATAACAATAAGAATACTAGTTTTTAATAAAAACAATATTACATTGCCAAAATACATATAACAAATATACATGAATAATAAAACTACATAATATGGTTATATTTCTTCTTTTTAAAAGCATCTCTAAACTATTCAGATTTCTCGTCTCCCTCATAATTTTAAAAAAATAAATAACTTCATAGAAAATAAATTTACAAATATCCCTAAATTTGACTATTTTTTATCGTTGTATAAAGGTACCAATGTATTATTTATCAATAAATGATACCCACACAAATATGCTTAAGCATTTTCATGATGAACCATTAAGGAAATGCGTCAATGCTTTGTCTGTATCATTATCATACATAACCAAGGCTTCAACAACGCTTGTGGACGAAAATCCCATTTCACGTAGAAGGGTATAACTCTTGGCGAATTTTGGAATCTTCAAATAAATAACTCAATAAGTTAATAGTTTATTTAAGCATCAAAGTTTGTGACACATCTTTTGTCTACTAATCCTTATAGTGTTTGTTAAAAGAATGATAGTGAAAAATGTTGGAATTAAGGTTCAAAATATCTAACAAATGACTGCATAAGGTAAAAGCTCCAAAAAAAATTTCCTTTGGGGGTGACATATTAGTTTATTAGAAGCAAAGTCACTGTGATAGGTAGAAATTTCTCAATGTAAATTAGGTCAAAATTACTAATCTACTTATGCTGGAAAAATTTTATAGACCATTAAGCATAAAACACATAATATATTAAGCATTTGACATTTTTAAATAATGTAAACATAAACTTCAACCTTCCCAACATAGGAAAAGTTGTTAAAAGTGTTTACATAATTATTAAATAGACTACTTTAGTCAATATTGTAATTGGAGAAACAAATAATTTAACATAAAATCATTAGGTTCACAGAAACATTTGGAGGATAACCTTTTCCATAATGGGAAAAACTATTTAAGTCATGCTAGTTTATAATCTAGAATTTCAAAAATCATTTGATAAGCATGTCCAACAGGGAGAAAAATATATTTGGCATCTTATTACTGAGAATTCAGAAACTTAATGATCATATCTTTTAGTAGAGTTGTCATTTTAATAATAAATCCAAAATCAGATATATAAGGATCAATGACATACCTTGACTGGATTATCACCATAATTTGCGACAGCAATAGGAATAGCTTCTCGACTTAGTCCCATGGCAATATATTTGCTCACAATAGGATCTGAAACAGAAACCTATAAACAAAACACCATTTGACAACTGTAAATGAAAAGAATTAAATATATATATATATATATATATATATATAAAGACAATTTAATATTAAACATATCATGAATTAGAGAATAATAAAGCTATAAAGTCTGTTTTATAAATTTTGAAAAACCAAATACACATAATTAAGCAAGCTACACATACAATACACAAATTAGAACTTCTCACTCCAAATCAAGAAGCTACCTTTGGTGATGTTGATTTAGTAGCCTTAGTTGGAATATTTTCGATATCAAACATACTCCAATTTGGATTTTCCTTATTTGCCTCATCAAGAATTTTCCTCTCCAATCCAAAATCAAATTGGAAGTTACTACGTGGAATATCTCCAGAATGTGATGACAAATGGGGCTACAACATTGAAAAAACTAAACATGTTAAAAAAGACTCAAGCCAATGATACAAAGCTTGTATCCTTTTATGCAATGTTGTTAATCTTCCCAAATTTCTCAAACATTTCATTACAACAAAATAAATTAAAAGTCAAGAAATGAAGTGTTTTCAACAATCTTACCATCTAAATAATGGGAAAATGAAAAGAAAAAAAAGGTTGAACAAAAAAAATCTCAAAAAAGCTAATTATTGTCAATAAGAATTGTATTATAAGTAGCAAAACCATTTAAGTTGCAAGCCATCATAGGATTAATACTCAAGGAAAGAATATTAGTACAAGAAAGAACTAAGGATGGAAACAAAACTTTACTTTCTATTGTATTAAAATGAAGAAAAAGTGTAAAGGGTAAATCATTGATGAAAACAAGATCCACATGAGCATCGCAGAAGAAATGTGAAAGTTTAAAAGACAATTAAATGCAGATATATGTGCATGTACAAATATTGAGGATTAGAGGCTAACAAGTTATAGTTAGACACGTTATGAAACATTTTTTACTACTAATTAAAACTTTGTCTTTTAAAACCTATCTCAATATATTCTAAGTTAGTTAATTTTAATTAATATTATAACATTTTTAACTTTTATTTTAAAAAAATGTCCTTCGAATTAAATGGTTAACTTTAAGTCGTAGTTACAATTAATGACATTACACATAATTAAGAAGTACTTTATCATGGCTAACTTCTATTGTTAACAGACCAATAAATACATCCATATTATAGATGAGTAAATGTCTCTTTAATAGATTTATAATAATTGAAGGATACAAAAGGAAATTAATAACAAATATGTCTCAAAGTTGTCTATGCTTCTCATATCAAGTTAAGACCAAAATAATTACTCATTTGTGTTATATAAATGACTAAAATAGAAATATTATTTCTCAAAAAATAGTTGAACTAACACTTTTTTAACCATAATTTCCATAAATGTTTCACATATCAATTCAAATGAATATCATAGGGAACTAAAGCAAATCTTACCAGTGGAGTGATCCTATATTCTGGCTTTATGAAAACCCTAATACTCAATCCTGCTACAAATTGAAGAAAAAAAATAAGGAAAAAATAGTTAGTTATCTATGATGCAATCAATAATTAGAATGGAAAAAACTCTTGTGGTAAAAGCGATGGAAAAATTCAAATTTATGAGTTTTTTTGTGTGAATAGATCTAAAGTGTTTATTTTCTACAACAATTTTATCCCTCATGAATATAGAAGATGTTGAATGGAAAAGATAGGAGATACTTACAAGAAGAGGAAAGAGGAGAGTGGTGGTGGTTTGATGGGCCCACAAAACCATTGCAATGAGGGACAACATTGGGGTACATTTGGTCAATTGTCGGAGAGGAAGAAGAGTTGTAAGGTGAAGACCGGTCTCGTCCGAAAACCATAATCCATCACTAATTATGGAAGAAGCAAACTGAAACTTTCCAAAGTGTAAGGAAAGGAAAAATAATATCCAATAAAAGCTAATGCCATGTTGGTGACAAATTATAATGACTATTTTTAAATTAGACAATCCAATATTCATTCTTGCATTATTTGATAAAAATTACTTTTAATATAAATTTATTATCTTAGTAATGTAAAATTAATTAGTATTTTAGTAGATACATTATATATCATAAACCTTGTTATAAGCAAAAAAGGAAATCTCAATCATTTAAAAAATTGTTATTTTACTTTCATAACTATATTTTATTTTAAATTATTTATTTATATTTATTTGAAAATAATCTTATATTATAGTTTAAATTATTTACTTTAAAATGTATATGTATTTTAAATATTAAAAAATTATTTTAAATTTAACTATGAAATAATTTGTATTTATAAAATATTTATTATAAATTTTAATTATATAAACATAAATATTTATGATGTGTAATGCACATGCAGAAATACTAATAAATAAACATTTATGAATAGATAAATTATATTTTGGATTTATAAGAAACCATTTAAGTTAAGATAAAAGATTATTATTAATAATCGGCATTTAGAAGAAAAAAAATAATTAAATACCTATGTGTGTATCTTTTTTTACTTCTAATCACTCAATTTTATATGCGTTTTTGTTAAGTCAAAAGACAATCTTAGATCCCTCATGCTTTATAAGTTTTAATGATAACAAATACTACATCTTTTAGTAAGAAAATACTTTGTAAAAGTCATTGTTAAAGTTTTCATAAATAATCTTTATGTAATCAATTATGAGAATAGAGTAATTGATTACATAAATACCTACCTTTTCCACAAGCATAAAATGTTCTAACATAACCAATTATATTAATGAAGTAATTGATTACATAGTATTATGGAAATCCAAAACACTAACGCATTAATTGATCACATACAAGAGTTGGTGTTGGAATTGTTTATAAATATGTCCCTTAGTCATGTTTCTCGAGATGAGTCATGTTTTCCTAACATTGGACTAGGATTCATATGTAATCGATATGAAAATTTAGTCATTCATTACATAAGGATATGTGTAATACTTATAAAAGAAAAATGTTCTATTTTAACCGATTAAGTGATAATGTAATCAATTACCTTACACATATTTCTAATTTTGGAAAATCTAGATTGTAACAATGATCAATGTAATTGATTACATTATCAACTTAATTGATTACACAAGAGACAAATATTTTTCTATATAAATCCAAACACCTTTCACTTTTCAATATGAGTTCATAAGTGTTTAAAAACACATGTGAAAGTTTTCTAAGAGAAAAATATGTTTTCAACTTGAGAATGCAAGAAAGAAAAACACATGTGAGTGTCAACAATGGGAAAAGGGTGAATTCATCTTTAAAATTATTAATTTGAAGTTTTCAATATCCAAAAAAAAAGTTTTTCTTTAATGTCTAGAAATGTGTAAGATCAAAGGGAAAAGCTTCACACTCAGGTTAATTTGTTTCACTTTGTATTTCTTTAAACAATCGAGTATAATTCTTGTTTTTAGGAATTTGAGTTCCATGTAAGAATAATGTATCTCAAGATAGATGTGCTTGAGTCTACAGGTTAGGGTAGGGTCCCCTAATAGCTTAAGCCAAGAATTTCTATTGGGGTTATAAAAATGCCTATGATCTAGTCATGATCAACTTACTTGGTCTGTAAATACATTTTTATTTATAGTGGATCACCTATAATCTAGGTTAATTACAAAAGATTGGATGTAGCTTTCTAAGGAAAGGAAACCAATATAAATTCTTGTGTGATTTTCTTCACCCTTCTCTCCATATCTAGTTAATTTTTTACTTTGCTTTATAATTCTTGAAATCTTGTTTGATTGTTCTGTACAAAGTAATTAATCTTTTATTCTTCAAGTGACAAAACAATTTTGAAATATTTAAAAAATATTTTCAAGAATAACATTTCAAGAAGATATTTTCTAAAACATAAAAAGGGAGAAAATTTTCTATTATGTGTTTAATATTTTTATTTACCAATCCAACCCCACTTCTTGGTGAGCTTGGATTTCAACATACATGGCATCTACCTGGAACATGATGCATTTAATTTTGGATTCATTGACCCTGTTTCCATCTAGTCTATTAGGAATAAAGATACAGAGGTACAACAATATTTTATAGAGAGGTTTCGAGTTGGAGGCAAAGAGGTGTAATTAACACCTTACTTGAATAGGTATGTACAAATTTTAATTCTATTTAAATTTTAAAATAACTTATTTGTTACTAATACTGTTACAAAATATAGGACTCATTGGTAGCTTCTTATTATTATTCCTTGGTAGTTTCTCATGATTTTCTTATGTTCATTACATAAGAAAACTACTGAGTTGTCCATTAAGTACCTAATTGACTCGCGAGTTTATAATTTGAATACATTTTATTTTTAATATATTTTAATTATCATAAATTTCTTCATTATTAATTTGAATTATTTTCATAGAGATCTTCTGGTACTAGTAAGGTCGTGGAGGCTTCTCCTAATATCTCGGAAAAAGCTTCAATTACAAATTAAATTATATTATAATTTTTCATATTTAAATTGTAATTTCCAAAATCAACCAAGTAACTATGAGTGTGGTTATTATGTGATAAAGCATAAACTGACCATTACCTCTAGGAATATTATGGTCTCAAGGAAAGAGGTAATACATAAAAATAAATTTACTTATTTTACTTTGTGTCATTTGATTGTTTATTCATCGGCTAATATTTAATTTATGCTATTTTTTGATTTATAGATATTCAAATATTTCACTTCATTCACTAATGAAGATTTGGAAGACATTCAGGCAACTTGCTTTTTTGAAATTTCTTTGCATAATGCTTTATTTAGTTATTTATGAACTTGTTTACTTTAGTTTTTATCTATATTTAATTTACATTATATGTATGAAATTTAAATTCTTTTTATGACATTGATTTTAGTTTGTTAACATTGTCTACATAAGCAAAATGTTTGATGGTTCATAGTTTATCATATATATTATTGTTGTTTGGGTGTTACTCTAGTTTACCACAAATTGTAGACATAAATTGAGACATGTAATGTATTATATAGGATTATTGAATTAAATAGCCCTATATTATATTCAATTGTCTAGATATTTTTTTTATTTACAATATGATGGGTCCAGAACTAACATGGAATGTTTAAAACACTTGTCATTAGAAATTCTTTGTTTAATAGTGAATGTTGTGGATATAAAGTCAATTCTATTGATCTCATGTATGCTTGCATTAAACATTGACACATCTTGTGTGAAGTTTGATATTCTAGTAAATTCAATTTTATCTTCAAAAAAAAAAGTTGTTGTCTCTTAAAAAAAATCTTAAATTAATTTTGAAGTTTCCTTCTCATAATAGTTAATAAGTTCTCTGTTTTTTTTTTTTTTTTACTAAATCTTAAATCCTAAACCTTACGTAAATCATAAGACTTATTATATATGTTGTTAATTATGTTTTTCTTTGATTTTTGCATGAACTATATTTGTTTCCAAATTAGAAAAAGTTATCAAGGTTTTTGGTTGGAGGAGAATGGAGGGAAAGGAAAGAGAGGGGAAGGATTTAAAAAAAATCTTATTTACTTGGTTCAATTTTTAGGAGGAGAGAGGAGGGAGCAAAATCCTTCTTAGCTCAATTTTAGCTCCCCTCCAATTACGAGATTTGAAGGAGAGAAGAGAAATTTTAATTTATTTTTAATATAATATCCAAAATATTCCTAGTTATTTAAGTTATTTAATTTAAAATTATGAGAATACAAAAGTAATTTTATTTTTAAAATCCCTCCCCTTCCCATGTGAACTTAACAAGAAAAAAGTTATCTCCTCTCCTTTCCTTCTATTAATTACACAAAATTTCTAACTCCTCTCCCTTCTCTTTCCTATCTCTTCCTTCCCCTTCATTAATGATGGAGTAGGTAAGTGAAGTGAAGAGTTGTGCTTCCTTTGCCTTCAACAATGATCACGGATCTTTTCTCCTTGATGAATTCCGGAATGAGATTGATTTAGAAGATGAGGGAAAAGTGTTTCCTAGACTAGGATGGAAGCATCCAAGCAAGAGAAACAAATAAGAAAGCTCACAGCCAAGCTAGGAGAGTAGATTTTCCTAATGCTAAGGCTTAGAGTTTGGTGACTTTGGAAGAGAACTTTGGCTGAAGTAAATTCAGAAAATTCTCATATATCTTCAAAGTGATTACATAAGTGTGAAGGTGTCAATATATAATCCAAATAAGCAAGTTAGTGGCGCCTAAATTCAAATGTCCATCTTTGGCGCCAATATTTGAATTTCAAATGGAATTTGAAATTCAAATTTTGGTGTACCATGTGCACATCCGAAAATTATGGCAACTAGCATCATCTAAGTTGCATTTGAGAGTCATTTGATGTGTATTTAGGGTGCACATGTTCAGCTCATACAATTTTAAAATTTGTGACCTAAATTCATGCCAAATGACATCTTAATGAAACTTAGATTTAGCCTAAATGACTTAATATTGAAAACCTTCTAAATTCCTAATCTAATGGCCTAAATACAATGGCCAATCAAATACAATATAAAGGAAAATTACAAGGATTAAAATGAGCCCAATATTGGGTACCAAAAGCCCAAAGGCCCATGAAGCCCAAAGCTAGGCCCAATAAGCCTATGGCTCAAAAATGCTACTCTATGTGGTCCAAAATACAAGACCAAAATATATGATACCTATACTAACATGATGTATACAAAACATATGAAAATA